TATTATTTCTAGCATAAAAGATAAGTTTTATTGGTTGTATATTTTTGCTTAACTATTTTCAGGAATTCAAATTGTTTTATACATACGTATATATTTATACTACTCTCAAAATACTTGTTTCATTGTTGCTCTTTTTTAAACTTTTCTTATTATTCAGATTAGTAAAGGTTTCCAAATCCATGTACATGTTCCATACTTGGTTTTTAAGCAAGTCAAAATGACTTATGACTGCTTCACGAGTTCCTTCAGGAAGGAAAACATGAGTTTATAGAGTAGGAAGGTTATATTCCTTTTTTTTTTAAATGCTTTTAATTTTGATATAAGGAAATCATAAAGCCTTCAATTTTTCTATCTTGAAGCATATGACTAGTTATAAAGCTAATGGCTGCTTCACTTTGCAAGCTCCTCAAACGGTTAGTCATGTGATTACCATGATAGAGGAGACAGCAGAAATGCAGTCACAGTCACAGCAGATACGACAGCTAACACTGCCTTGGCGGCAAGGAGAGGCATCACTGTAGTGCAGAGTGAAGCCAGCATCTGGGAAAAGGAAAGGCGGTTGTTGGAACTTAGGAGGCATTTCCATATTTAATAATCAGGAAATGGGGTCACCCTATCTCTGTGTCTTTTTCCAAGTTCTGAAAAAATATTTGGAATGGCGTCACCATTTTCCTATTTGGAATATCATTCCTAACTCTCATAGTGGAGTAATGATTATAGGTGTTTGGCTGGACATTGAAATCTCAAGGGGAATTACAAGAGTGATATAATTGTTAATTGCTCTGCCACATGGTCGGGGCACTAAAATGTAATCTGTGAATGAGGTTGTTAAGAGTTTGAGCCTATGGAAAAATCACGTGAGCTGCATAAATGATTTTAAAATTTTTTACCAAGAATGTAAAAGGTAGAAAAAAATCAGTTTGATCCGAAATATTGGGCATTCACTTCATTATATGAAGTCTTCAAAACTCCAGTGTCTGACATTTTCATCACATCTCAGGTCAGGGTGGACATATTTCACATGTACTCACATCGGGCTGGTGGCTACAAATAGAACAGTGTATGCTTAGATAAAACCTGTAGAAATGGAAATGGAGAATAAATCCAACAGCTAGTTTATTTGCTGTGAAGAATCCAATGAAGAGTTAGACACTAAATAAGAAACTTACAGAAGCTGCTTAGGAGGACAGTTACAATTTAGGTGCAAGATTTATAGTGCTTTGCCTATAGTATCTACTAAATATCTATTCCAGTTAAGAGTTATTGTGCTACCAGAAGGAAACACTGGAGGCTGCTCAGCACAGTGCACGTTTTACAAAGAAGCCAGCAGATCCAAAGCTTAAGTAATTATGACTGATTTTTCCTCAAATCTCTGTTACTGTGTGTGAATACTTCCTGGGAAATGTATGATTGGGAATAAGATAACCTTTTCAAGGACTTTGTTTTAATCATTAACAGAGTTCTAGGAAGTACCTTGGCATACAGAGAAATTCTTCAAACTCTTGCTTCAGAAGTTGCTAAGATTAGAATGTTATGAAAAACAAGTGGCTTACAGTCTAATTGTTTGCTATATATGAAGAAATTAGAAGTAATTTTCCTTTTCATATGTTTAATTCTCGAGTATTTTTCTTAATTGGATCAAATGAAAGTCAACAAAAGTGCAGCTGCCCACTTGTTTACATATAAAAGTCTTATCATTTTTAATAAGGCCTGATGAGATAAACAGTTTTAAGGAAATGCTTCAAGAGAAAAAGTTCTATTACAAATTTCTATATATGTATCTGTTTAATAAAAACTACGATAAGATTAAGCTAAACAATAAATTGCTTTGTGAATGCTTCTATAGTCAAGTCTCAAGTTATCTTGATTTGAACTATTTCCTAGATCTTTATTTCTAATGTGCTCACTATATGTATACAGCATATATGTTTTTGTGTGTGCCTGCCCAACAGTAAGTTTTTTAACTAAACTTTCTAAGTCACACAGTTTTACATGTCCAGACTCACGTAACAGATATAAAGACAAATTTTCAGAATTAACACTGCTTTGGTAACTAACTGATTTTACTCCTGATATTTTGAAATATGTTTCCTTCTTATATCCATCATTTCTCCTGGGGTCAAGAACTGTGATTATTTAAAGAACCAATTTAAGTCTCCAGTGACATACATGTTCAGTTTTTCCTTACTGTATCCATCCTGCCTAGCATAAATTAAAATTAATCTTCCCTAGATTGATGAGTCAGAATCATCTTGGTGGCAGTGAGTTTGGAGTGGTCTGTTTATATTTTTAAAGAGCTCTTGTGAAAGTATAGCTCTGCAGAAATAGAAATAGACTCCTGCAGAATACAGATGAAGTCCACTGCTTCAGAATCTGGTCTCAGCCTTCATTTTCTAACTAATTCTTACCCTTCACCTCAACTGCTTTTGCTTGGATCAAATGAAGCACGTTCTGTAAGCATGCTCAGGCTTTCCTGACTCAGTGTTTGTGTCACTAGTGCCCTTGTTAGAGTTACTGCTTCCCTTTTTACAGTAACGTTTTCAAAATCCATCCATCCTTTAAGCTGTAATGCCAAAGTCAATATATCCTTTTAGTTACTAGAAAGCTTGTGCACTCTCAATGGAATTCTAGTAATACTTTGCACCTTGCATATTGTGCTTTAGTTGTCTATCATGCATTATACTTACCTGGGCTTTATCGCCTTAACTTACTGTCATAACTGTTTCTTGATGAATTGTTGTGCCCTTATTTTTCTTTTAGCAGTCTTGGTGGCAGGTAAGCATTGAATTAATTGCTAACCACAAAGTCAACGAGTTCATACCCACCAGCCACTCAGAGAGGAGGAAGATGAGGCTCTCTGGTCCTGTAAAGACTTGTAGTTTCTAAAATCCCTTACAAGGTCCCTAGGAGTCAGGCAATACTCAAGCCATAGTGTTTTCATTCACCTTGTATGCAAGCAAAAGTTGGCCATTGAACAAGGAAAACCAAACAAGAATCGATGCATTTGTGTTATGGTGCTGAGGAAGAATACGGAAAGACTAGACTGCCCAGGGAGCAAACTAATCCTAAAAGAGTTCTTTTGAGTCAAAACCGACTTGATGGCACCAACAACGTGAGTCAGAATTGATTTGTGGGTATTGGCCTCAAGGAAGAAAGTCCTGCTTGTCTACTTCCATAGATTGGTGTGGTGGAAGACACCATCAAGTCCAATTCAACTCCACACAGCAGAATGAAGCACTCAGCTCCTGCACCAACCTCAGACTAGTG